CCCATCGTCAAGAATGCCGCGACTCTTTGATTAGCAAATGAAACACCCACTTGAACTCGCGCGGGGGCGGCGTGATAATACTTGATCACGCCCGCTACTGCTTCCAGTACTATTGGCACCAGAATGTCTGCACGCTTCCTGTATACCCCAATTGGGATACCATCCCGTCCAAAAGGAAGAGGCGAGTACGAGTGCAAGGCCACTGCGTGCATCCTCCAACGCTGGGCAAATATCCGACACATGCAGGCGCAGCTTGTCTGGGAGCTCGTCGAGCCACCGGCGCCGCATTTAAGCATCCCGTGGCTTGTGGCCGAGAAGGGCTTGCCCACGCGACGCCCAACCTGCAGAGTTGGTCACCGGTTCTGAAGCAACAACGCCCCCCGCTGCGATCACTGACGGCCGATGGTCCGCTAAAACCCCCAGGAAAAAAAACACAGATAGATAAGACGGTACCGCCTTTTCCTCTGCTAGTGCACCATCTCGGGTGGGTCTTTGCGCGTGCGCGTTAGCTCGCACACGCGCTCTTTAAACGAAGCGTGCCCGAGCACCTGCACATGGGCAAACAGATCCCTGTGATTTGCGTAGCCGCAGCTCCTCGGTCCGCCTGCACGGCATGAGTGCATTGAGCATTCTTCCAACCATTGCAGTCAAGAGCCCTCAGGAAACCAATGCATGCCGAAAGTGTCTCCTCTTCTGTCCTGGATGCTGGTGTACTCCTGACCTCTGCCCGCGTGCATTTGGCCTCCTTCTTCGCTGCGAGCTAAAACAAACCAAGTTTTGCCAGAGCATCTCCAGGACAGCGTGCTACTTCAAACTGAAAATCGGCGAGCTCCTCATGGCCAAAAACGCATTCGAAGAGAACAACGTATTCAGGCACTCGGAAAAAGGGGACCTCAAACCTCCAGCTTAACGTAAACACGCACGGGGCGATGCGAAACATGCATATGGCCAGAAATCCAGAAGATGACAGTTGACAGTCCCGGTGTAATTAAGAGCGGGATGCAGGAAAGAGTAAGCACGATCGACAGGATAACAAGCAATGCCAGCCTCACACTGAACGTCGTCTTGGTTCTTCTCCAATAGCGGCTCAGGACAACAGTTCCTCCCAAGCCTTCGCCGCGGGACCATCACCACCAAGAGGCCATCCTCCGTCAATTAAAAAAACGATACACCATCACGTGGACAGGGTTCAAATCTCCCGCAATGTTGGTGTGAGCCGAGTGATCGATTGCATTCTCAAGAGCGCGGATGTGAAGTGCCTTAGCGCTGTGTCGCACGGAGCCAGATCGACACACGCAAGTGAGCACTCCATTTAGCAACAGTGGCACCAGTGACCCTTCACCACGGGCTCGAAGCCATTTAAATCCTCAAGCTGTGGGAGGGAGAAGCCGCACGAGCGACAACATTCGGAACCGCACAGACGTGGGGGGCAAAGAGAGGGGAGGAGCAGGGGGAGGAGCAGAGTAGAGAGAGGACAGAGGGGGAGGGCAGTCCCGACCCCGCCAGGGGACGGACAAGGGATCCAAAGCAAAGCCTCGGACCCACCTGCAATGCACTACGGCCTTCCAATCGGAAGGTTACCAGCGTTTCAAGCAAGTGGTGCTTCCGAAGCAGCGTGGGCCTCGTTATCGGGTCGGCGCGTTGTTCCCGTCGCTCAGAATGGCGCTCTCGCCCCAGCGCGCGCCACTTTTCTGGATCCGACTCCGTCCCCACGGTTGTCACCCCCCTCCTTGTCCCTCCTCCACCTTCCCTGATCCTCCTGCTCCTCCCGCTCCTTCCACTCCAATTCCTGCTGCTGCTTTTCGTCACGGTCCTCCCCCTTCCTCCTCCTTCCTCCTCCTTCCTCCTTCCTCCTCCTCCTCCTCCTCCTCCTCCTTGTCCTCCTCCTCATCTTCCTGCTCATCTGCCTCCTATCCTCCAATTTACGCAGGTCTCCATTTCTGCTTTCGCAAAACAAGATCGGGTCCTTTTTGGAGTTCCACGTCCGCTATGACACGCTTCGGCGAACAGGGCAAAAACGCGATGGGAGTGGACGGGTGTGATGGCAGAGTGTCAGATGTGTCGCGAGCGTGCCTAGCTTGCCCATCCCCCCTCTCCCTCTCCCGTTTCTCTTTCTGCCTTCCTCCTCCCACTGACCCCCTCCTTCGTTCCGCGTCGTCATCAGGTGGAGTCGCAGTGACCTGTACTGTAGAACCCCTCTTGAAACCTTAGCCTTGGTGACGTTGCAGACTGTCTAGAACAAGCTACTATTCTGCAAGATGCGTGCTGTCCTTCTTTGACAGTCTTCATGCCTCATCGGCCTCGCAATCCAAGACACAAACAAAACAACGTTCCGCAATCCATTCACTTTTCCATCCCCATCACCCCTCTCCCTTCCCCATTCTCTCTCCGCCTTCTTCCCTGGGACCATGCTTCGCCACGCCACGTCGACGCAACCTTTCTTCTGCTCCAGCGTGCGCGGTGGCAACAGTAACGGCTGCGCCGGGGTTCTTGGATCTCAGCGCGTACGGCGTGGACCCAGCTAATTGCATCAAGATCTCTCCACACGCTCAGGAAAAGAGCTAGTCGGAGGAAGAATGAGAATGGCCATCGCCACACTACCACCTGGAAGTGGTGGGGTCGGGGACGTTGGTGGCGCATACACTTGTTTGAGGATCCTGCGCCCATGCGTCCCACAAACCAGCAAACCAAGTAGCGCCAAGCCTTTCTCCCAAACCGAAACACCGCTGGCCATGTAGGCGTGGGTGAGACGTTTTTTGGTTTGAATCGCCGTCGCCACTCTCCCCCTTCCCCTGGGCCTTCCTCCTCAAGCGACCCAGCCAGACGAAAATCGAACAACGTCGTGATCAAGCCGAAGGGCAGCCTCTTCCCTTCGAGCCCTTCCCCGTGCCAAAGGGGTGGGTCCCCCGGGGGTTCGCCCCCCCTCCCCCCCGCAGAAGGGGTCCTGGGGGGTGTCCAGGAGATCGTGATCCCCCCCTCTCCGACCAAGATGGCCCAACAGAGCCCCACAGCACAGACCCGCAAGAGGGGGAGCACCAATCGAGTCGAAGGGAAGGCCCCTGATCCCTTCCCCGCCGAGGGGGGGCAACCTTGGGAGGGGGCGATCCGGGGGGGGCCGAGGCCAACAGGGCCCACAGGGGCCCCCACGAGGACTCGCGAGAGTCGTCATCGTCGTCGCCGTCGTTTTCGTCGTCTCCCTATCCAGGGTTGGAGGCATCGGCCGTAAGGCCTTCGCAACACAAGCGGGAAATTCGGAGCAAGGGTGCGACAACGAGGAGTCCCAGACATGCGACGTCCTGAAATGTTCACAATACGTCCCCCCCCCGACATCCCGACCCTCATCCAGGACCGGTTTCTCATCCCGAGTCGTTTTTGGACGTCTCGAGTTTTTCACTACGGGGCCCCAGCGAGGTCTGGACAATTTCCCCTGGACCGGCTCTTCATCCCGAGTCGTTGTTTGACGGTCCCGGGGCCCGGCGAGGGCCCTCTATAGAGGCCCCAAACTGGGAAAAACCTCCGTGTCGAGTTTCTCGAGACGTTGGAGGTCTGGGCATGTCTGGGGCAGCAGCGGAGCGACGCGCCGCAGCCTCTCTGCACTGCTGGCGTCGCTCCCTGGGGGGGCAGAAGCCCAGGCCTCCGGCGCCGCCCTCGTGTCAGGACGTCGTCGTCGTCGTTGGCGTCGTCATCGTTTCAAGACGTGGTCCCCGGGGATCTGCACCCCCTCCCTTGGGTGGTCCCCAGAGATCTGCACCCCCTCCCGTCCCCAGGACTGGCGTGTCTCGTCCCAAGACGCTGACGACCCCCTGTCCAGCAAGGACCCCCAGCGCTGGCAATGCATACAAACCAGAACCTCGGCGCGGTCTGTGAACGACGCGAGGGGGCCCGGGAAGGTGGGACAAAATTGGGACTGGTTTGGGATCGAAGGCCGGTTGCCGCCCTCTCCCCGCACAGGGAGGGAATAGAGGTCAAAAAGTCCACCCCCATGAGTCGTTTAGTAAACGCGAAGTCGTTTGGTAAACGCGCCCAAAGAAGGAATCAAGCAGGGCAGGGCTGTTCAGTAAACGCCCAGGGCCGTTTAGTCAACGCCAATTGTCCAGCCTGGGAGGTCTTTCATCCCTTGAGGAAACGGAGCAGGAGAGGGGAGATATACCCAGGCCCCCTCGCGTCGCGAGAAAAAATGGCACCTTCAAGGCCGAAGAGTGTGGGACATTTTCTGCCCCGGGGGGCCCTCGCTGGGCGCGGGGACCGCCAACAACGACCAGGGACGAGAAGCTGAACACGAGGAGTAGGTCGAGACCTCTGGGGGTCCTGGGCAGGTATATCGAGGCCTTCTGGATTGAGAGACAACGAAAGGGGGGGATAGGGATAGCGGGGACAACATCAACCTGGAATCGGCGATACATCGCCGATAGATCGGCGATAGGCCCCCGATAGTGAATCCGCACATTCTTGGGCAGGTTGGGGCTATCGGGCCCCTATCGGCGATCTATGGGCCATTGAGGGTCGATGCGTCCCCCCCTATGCTTATCCCCCCAATCGTTTCCCCTGATGGATGGGGTCCGAGTACATAGGGTCGGAAGATCGCGCCGCATCGCCAGTGCATCGCAGAAACATCGGCGATGAATCTGCGATGAATCGGCGACGCATCGGCGCAATCTGGCGTGGAGAAACCATGGCTCCACATCGATCCGCATCGTCGATGCATCGTCGATGCGGATCAGTCCGTCGATCCCATCTACTCGCACCCGATGTATTAACTGTCGCGCCTTCTGAGCAGCTTTCTCTGTATTCGAAGAAGGCTTTGACAACTTCTTAGGAGGTCTGGGGGCTCCCGAGCCATCTGAGAAGGCCAGCCTCTTCTCACTTCCCCCCTCGCTCGCCGCCGAAGTTAGGAGGCCTTGCCGAAGGCTCATTGCACCCCCGTGCCCCACCCAGGAAGAAGGGAGCGGCATGCGCGCCGCCTGGCCTCCGCGGCCGTTGGCAGCCAGCCCCCGAGCCGCTCAGCTCAGAAAGCCCGAGAGCCACTGGAAGGCCTCCGCGTAGCCCATGCCCTTCACGACGCTGACCATGAAGAGCTCCACAGGGCGAACGTTCGACTGCCCCTTCTTAGAAAGGGGCCGAGGGACACACTTGTCTCTTGACATCCACGCGACGCCCATCGGCACAGGCAGGAGGGATGATGATGATGATGATGATGATGATGATGATGATGATGATGATGATGAGGAGGAGGAGGAGGAGGAGGAGGAGGAGGAGGAGGAGGAGGAGGAGGAGGAGGAGGAGGAGGAGGGAAGGAGGGGAGGAGGAAGGAGGAGAGGAGGAGGAGGAGGAGGAGGAGGGTGGCGGGGGAGGAGGAGGAGGAGGAGGAGGAGAGGAGGAGTGAGGAGGAGGAGAGAGGGGAGGAGGAGGAGGAGGAGGAGAGGAGGAGGAATGAAGGAGGAGGAGGAGGAGGGAGGAGGGAGGGGAGGTGAGAGAGGAGGAGGGAAGGAGGAGGAGGAGGAGTAGGAGGAGGAGGAGGAGGAGGAGAGGAGGAGGAGGAGGAGGAGGGAGGAGGGAAGGAGGGAGGAGGGAGGAAGGAGGAGGGGTAGGAGGAGGGAGGAGGAGGAAGGAGCGAGGATTTAGGAGGGAACACGAGGCCCCGGGCGCTCAGCGCGCCAGCGGCCTGCGGCCGCTCACAGCGAGGGTATCCCTTAGGTTGCCCTGGAGCCCCGCGCGCGGCCCAGCGCCCAAGTAGTCACGCAAATGCACAGGCACAAATCCCAGGATTCCTGATGTTCTAGGCAGCGATAATATGCACCCGTTCGCTGACATTCCTGGTCGTGATTGTCACGCCAACGGCTCCTACCCAATCCCTGCTCCTTTGCCACTCCCCTCCCACGCCCTTGCCCACCCGTCGCCCCCCCCTCTCCGCGCCCCCCTCCCCCCTTCGCCCTCTCTTCGCCCCCCCCCCCCCCCCTCCCCCTTCACGCCCCCCCCCCCCCCTCCCCTCGCCCCCCGCCACCCCCGCATTCTTCCCCTCCACCTCCCACATTATCCTATATTCTCTGGGTAGTCGATGCTGAGTGTTTCTGTGATATCCTGACCTTCTTGGGGTCCCGGCCGTACGTCATGTGGGACTGCAGCCCCAGGCTGTAGCGGAGCTCCTCCTCGGAGGCCGCCACGGGGATGTCGATCTTGTTGCCCAGCACGACGAAGGGGACGCTGGCGAGCGCCTGGTCCTCCAGCAGCCCGCTGAGCTCCTCCCTCGCCTCGTTGAAGCGGGTCTTGTCCGCGGCGTCCACGATGAAGATGATGCCGTCGATCGAGGCGAAGTAGTCCTTCCAGATCCGGCGGGCGGTCTCGTGTCCTCCGAGGTCGTAGGTGCGGAAGCGGATGTTCTTGATCATGAGCTCCTCGCTGTGCGGGTGCAGCGTGGGCTGAAGGGTGGCCACGCGGTCATCCTTCAGCTTGTGGAGCAGCGTGGTTTTCCCTGCGTTGTCTAGGCCGAGGAAGAGGATCTTGGCGTTCTTGTTGCTCAGGCCGAGGTAGCCCAGGACGTCGAAGAACCAGTTGACCAGGAACATACCCCAAGCACGGCTTCTGCTAAAATCTTCGAGCAGCGAGCTGAGCGAGGTAGGCCCCACCTTTCTGGAACCCCTGTGGCTGGGATCCGAAAAGGTTGATCCAAAGTGGCTACGGAGTGGAGACGGAGTGGGAGCATTACGGCGACGAAGAGGACGTAGCCGCTGAGGAGAAGCAGCAGCAGCAGCAGCAGCAGCAGCAGCAGCAGCAGCAGCAGCAGCAGCAGCAGGCTGCTGATGACCCTCCTCCCCCAGGTCTCGAAGGACAGGTGGGAACCCAGAGCCTCTGCTTTGGCAGGAGCATCTGTCGCCGCGCCGTGTGACCTTGACGACGCCGGCCCACGGCTAACCCACGGCAAACCCTGCATCCCCGCGCCAAAGCAGACGCTGGCACTGCGGGAAACTCATGGCGAGCCAGCCGCGCCCGAGGCGTAGTTTGCCCTCCCCCAGGCGGAAGGCATCGCGTCGGAACAAACGGCGCGGCGACAACTGCAGTTCATGCCAGAGAGGGAGGACGATCTGGGGGAGGTCGCGGACCGATCCTGCGAGGAGCACATCGCCGAAGCCCGTCCGACGCGCGGGTATGCAGAACGCTTGAGGCGGCAGCGCTGCTCCCGCTCCGCCGCAGGAGTCCAGTCGCGCAACGACGCCGCCACGGCACGCCGCGATCCAAGCACGACAAGCTGCAGAGACGGAGCCCGTCGTAGTGCAGGTAGCTGGAGGGCGCGCGGACTGCGGACACGTTCCTCCTCCTCCTCCTCCTCCTCCTCCTCCACCTCCTCCTCCTCCTCCTCCTCCTCCTCCTCCTCCTCCTCCTCCTCCTCGACTCCGCCTCGACTCCTCCTCGACTCCTCCTC